TTTAGCTCTAATACAATACCGCTAAATACGATCACTAGGTTGGTTTTGTTGTGATTACCTTGTTAGGGTTCATCTTTCCTTTTCCACACACAAATTACACTCCATGATAATCATTCCAACCCTCACATAGCTTGATCATTCACGAAATCCGAGAAACAATCCCAACAACAAGCAAGATATAATCTTTCATCATTTAAGCATCATATCAAAAGAAACTACTAGTATAATTAAACACATGCAACCAAATTTGAACCATCTGTCCAAGAAATTGGTACCCTAGGTCATAATGCAGCAAAATTTCTTCTTAATGCACAATTTGCAATCAATTAAATTAAATTGATCAAACAAATCATCAAATCAAATCCCAAATAAATAATCAAACATTAATAAATAAAAGAACAACAGAAAAGGTAAGATTAAGAAATTACCAGTAAGCATGATGATGGATTCAGAGGGAAACTGAAACTTATTAATGAGCAAATAACGCATACACTTAGCATCATTAATACACCCTTTAAGCTCATGCCTGGAGAATTTATAAGAAATCCCACAAATAACAGCCTTTTTCCGACCGTGCGGCGATGGAGGAGGGCCCGGTGGCGCGTGAGAGTACGGTGAGGGAGGAGGAGGCGCGTGAGAGTGTGGTGAAGGAGCAGGTGGCCCAGCGTGATGGGATGGAGGTGGGCCGACGGCGCGTGGATCAGCGATTTGGGTAATGGTTCGGCAAACGACGCATTGGATGGATCGGGCGCCGGGCGGTAGCTGTAGTGGGGTCCGGCAACCGGAGCAGTTGACTAGCATCATCATTGTGCGTAAAGGGGTAGTCTTGATTTTTTTTATTTTTTTTTTTTCAATGATGAAATTTAATTTTGATTTTTTTGGGGTAGTTGTGAGATTTGGGTGTAATTATTCTGGGAGAAAAGGTAGTTGACTGAATTTGGGAAAATTGATTATCTAGAAGAAATTGAACTAACTTTTGATTTTTCATGCAATTTTGCCGCGTCTAATTAGAGTTTTCTTTAAAAAAAAATACGAAGTAGTATATAATTTTTATTTAGTTGCAACCTTGAAATATTTATATCTCTCAAATAATACCCCAAAGTTACAACTGAAAAAAAAATAAAAATAAAATAAAAATTTGAAGGTAGTATATTGGATTAATACATAGCTATAGAACAAATCTAGGTGTTCATTTCGTGGAAGAATCCACCTGTTGGATGGTGTGCTCTCAACACCGATGGGGCTGCCAAGGGTGCCCCGGGTTTGGCTGGTGGGGGTGGCATTATTAGAGAAACAGATGGGAATTTTATTCAAGCTTTTGCTGCAAACTATGGAGTATGCAATGCTACTAGAGCTGAGTATTTAGCGTTGGAGCAGGGGCTACTCATGGCCAAGCAACGAGGCATATCTAAGCTGATGGTGCAAATGGATAACCAAGTCTGTGTTGAAGCAATCAGAGATGCTAGTTATCAAGTTGGAGAATTCGTACACATTATCAATAATTGTATCCGTCTTAGTAGTTCTTTCGAGTCTTTTGTTATTGTTCATTGTTTCTGGGAAGGTAATAGGGTAGCTGATAGAATTGCTAATGTTGGGGTAGGACTTCAAGAAATGGTGGTTTATTTCGAGGATCCTCCAATCAAAATAAACAACCTTCTCTGGGAGGACTTGGTTGGGGTGGCTTTGCCACGGCTGGTGGTGTAAGTTTGTGTTTTTATTTTCTTTGGACTTGTCCTCCTTTACAGCAAAAATAAAAAAATTTACTAAGTAGATGAATAGGATGATGATAAAATTGCTAAATTTAATCTTTATTGTATTTTGGTTTTGTTTGATAAAATGTAAAACCTTAATTGTGTTTTATGTGTTTTACAAGTAAGGTTTGAGACTAGTCAAAGTTCAAACAAAATTGTCTATTTAGACAAAAAGATAGTCCAATTTCACAGAGGTTTAAATGATCAACCATACAACTTGTCAAGCAAAAAAAATGATCAACCACACAACTAATTGGTAAAATAAATTTTTTTAAAAAAATGTTTAATAAGCAATATCACACATGTTCAACCAATCACAATAGATTACATTGCTCGGTTTAGCTAGACTTTCTTAAGCAATATCACACACGCAATTTTATAACTTCATATTATGTACTAATAACTAGTTTTAATATTCAAAAAATGAGTTTAAACACAAACCAAAGATATAAGATGAAGTAACATACTCTACCAGGCAAAACTTTAATTGACAATATAGAAGATAATTTGATATTTTTATTTTTATTTTTGACAAGCAATTAAACAGGAGAACCAAAAAAAAAAAAAATTAAATGTCTCTTCTTGCAGCAACAGCAAGTTTATGGGCTTCAATGCTTCATACTCTATTTCTACTTACTTTCCTAATTTCAAAACTCTTAAAAACTTGAGAATGTTGCTGTGTCTCCTTCACAATTTGCTTAATCTCCCTCCTTGCTTTGTGCTCGTCTTTGAAGACCTGGGTTAGCTCCAAGGAATCCGTGAGAATAACAACATCCTCTCCTTCTAAATTCATTCTTTATATTACCATTAGAGCATCTTTTGCTTCAGCTTGACATGCCCGATGATGCGAAAACTGGGCTATTTTCCCTATCAAATACAACTCTAGTGTCTTATTATCCACCCAACTAGTTAGTATGCTAGTATAGTAGTATCACACTTTTAAACTCGAGGTTGTACACGAATTAACTTACTAGAGGTTGTGTTATTTGTAGATTATAGGCATGTGGTATTTTTTTTTATTTTATTATTGAAGGAATTATAGACATACAATAGTTTTGTTCTTTTTATGTCGTAAGTTAACAATTAAATGAGAACTTTTAAAATGTGATTTAAGAACATAACTAGAAGCTTCAAAATTTTTGTACATCATTTAGCAGCTAAGTAGCCATTTAACCAATTAAATTTATACATTAGATTTTGAGAGGAGCAAAGCCACTAAGACTTTAATTAGATGGTTTTGACACCTAATAGCCATATTTACGAGCTACGAGGTCCGTTGAAAATTAAGCATGTGAAGCACCTTGATATCTAACCTTGTCGAATCTAAAAATGTTATCCCACTACTACATAAAAAGCAAATGCAATGCCCAATGTTTAGGCAATGATCTAGATTTCCGTACCATTTGCGATAATTTAGATTCAACACCTGGTCATACACATGTTGTTCACTTGCTTGGAACCATGTATACCCATTAGTTAGTCATACAATGGCCTAGACTCAATGAAAGAGGTGAATTTGTAATACACTTAATTGTCAAGAGATATAGTAATTAGTAAATAATTTCAACCACCTAGGTGACATCGCAAGGTCCATGGGAATAACTTTAATCTCTCTCTTTTTTTTTTTTTAGATTGAGAAAGTTGAAGATTCTTTAAAATATAAGGGTATATACACGCTTTTAGATCATTTTTAATATATATTTTTTTCGAATCTTGAGTGGATGCAGAAGGCCTTTCCCAAAGTGATAAAATATTGGTTGGAATTATTACAGGCATACCAACAGGTCATTAAAGTTGTAGAGAACGAGTTTGTTCAACACGACATTTTCGAAAATATCGAAGTTCCTTTAATATTTCAAAAATCTTCCATTGGCTTATCAAACGTTGTTCAATTTGGTTGTTTGTGTAGGTGTAAAGTTGTAACACCTTTGTTCATACTGGTTATTTACAGTGAAAGAAGGTAGAGGTGATAAATAAGTGTGTCATGTCAGATATTTGCATAATTTTTTACGCCCAAACCTACGCTATTTACAGGCTGGCGGGTCAGATCAGACTAGCAGACCGGGCCATTGATGTATCACAAAATTTCCATCTTTTTTTGTGATTGATAAGAATGACAATGAATCAGATTCAGGTAAGATGAGGCTTAATCTAAATCTCAATCCGCTTGATGAGAGGTCCGAGTCCGATCCGACTTATATATATAACATACACACCCGATTCTTTTATTTAGACGTAGGCCCCATTTATGAGATATACTAATAAATACAAATTATTACATAGACCCTGGTCCACCTATCCTATGTGGACCAGGCATTAAACACATTCTTCTCTTAATTAAACACAACTTCACCTTATTCTTCAAATTCCGCCATCTTAACTTTTTTTTTCTTTCCTTCTTTATAAGATCACTCTTCCCTATTTAATCTGATTATTTTTTTACTTTTTTTTTCGATCATAATTTAGATCCACAACATTGTCTAGATCAAAGAAATCATCAACATTATCTCTTCTTTTTCTTTTTTTTTCTCCTTAATTTCACTCTTCTGAACTTCCTCTCTCTTCTTCTTAACATTTTCTTGCTTCTTCAGAACTTTCTTCTTTTCAAACTCTTTCTTAGCCTTCTTTTGAGCTTCCTTTTTAGCTTGATTTTCAGTCTCCTTTTGACATTTCTTTTTAGCTTGATTCTCAGCCTCTTTTTGAGCTTGATTCTCAGCTTCTTGGATTGGTGTTGGGTGGTGGATTCGGGTTGAAGTTCAGATTGGTTGTTGTAATAAAACAAATGCTTCTTGGATTAAAAAATAACAATATCAAAATTTGAACAGGAATTACAAATTATATGAAATAAAACCATAAAACATTTGAACAGTAATAACAAATTATATGAACTAAAACCACAAAATATTTGAACATTGATCACAAATTATATGAACTAAAACCACAATATATTTGAACAGTAATCACGAATTATATGAACTAAAAACACAAAACATTTGAACTTATAAAATAAATGCTTCTTAGTTTAAAAAATAACAATATCAATTTTTGAACAGTAATCACGAAATATATGAACTAAAACCACAAAATATTTGAACGATCTATTTAGTCGGATTCAGATTATCCAAGTGATTAGCCTACCAAATTAAGAAGACAGTATAAAAAAACAATGGGCCGTTAATTAAGGCCATGACAAAAGAAAGAATAAAGCCCAAAGAAGGAACTCGTGTAAACCCTAGAAGTCCAAGATTGGTAAATAAAGAAGCAGAAGTATAAAACCCTAACTCAACCCTATTCTTATTTTCTCGTCATTTCGGCTGTTGCTTCTTCAGGATTTCATTTCCCCTCTCTTCCGCCGTCGACATTCATCGCAATGGTACTCCTCTCACTCTCTCTCTTTTCAATCATCGATAAAATTCCTAGTTTTTCTTCAATTTATTGAGTATGAATCTGATTTTATCGACTTGTTTCTGGTTTAATTTGCTTGATTATTTGTTGCTCGAAATGTGAAGTGATTGTTAGTAATTTCTACTCTAGTGTGAGTTTTCTGTATTTTAATCGATCAAAATCAGCATTAATTTTTGTCCTTTTTGTATTTTTCATCTGATGAGAAGTTGATTTTTGCATTTTAATGCCGATTGTTAGCTTAATTTGTTGGCCTTTGAGGTTTTTGATTTCAATTGTTATCAGAACGAATTTGTAAGGTGTATTTGCTGCGTTGATTATTGTGAATGAGGAGAGAGAGAATTTACGTTTTGAATATTTGATTTTGCTTTGTGTAAATATTGATTTCATGATTAATTTGGATAGTTTGGATGTTTGTGGTATGGTATAACAATTAGAAACAATTCTAGGTCAAATTTCTTTGCATTTTTGTCTCGTGTTTGTAATGCTGTTGTGTTTGTGAATTGAATTTGGTTATTTTTGTGAATATTTGTTATAGCTATTGTTTGAGTTTATGATTGCCTAATAAATTCTACTGTTTGTTCGCCTAACAGGCCCCGAAAAAAGGTGCCGTAAAGACTCTTGGAAAGAAGAAGCCTGTAAGTTTGATCTCTCACTAATATCGGCTGATACTTGTTTTATGTTCATATATTGTTATCAATATATTTTGTTTATTATTTATTTGCATAGAGGTCTGAATTTGATCCTTTTTCACCTTGTTGATACAAATATTGACATAAATTTGTAGTTTTGTTTTGGATTTTAAATCCTCGATAAGACATTGTTGGTTTGTGTACTGTAGTATAGCTATGTTGGCTTAATGGTCATTTATCTAGAGGAAATATTGTTGGACATAGATTAGGACCATAGAGCTATTGAGATGAGTGTGCAATCTTTGTGATTGTCTAGTTATCTAATATGAATATTTATTACAGGAGAAGACTACTAACCCTTTGTTTGAGAAGCGACCCAAGCAATTCGGAATCGGTGGTGCTCTTCCACCAAAGAAGGATCTCACCAGGTTTATCAAATGGCCCAAGGTTGTTCAACTTCAGAGGAAGCGAAGGATCTTGAAGCAACGTTTGAAGGTTCCCCCAGCTATCAACCAATTCACCAAGGCTCTTGACAAGAACCTTGGTAATTTTCTTACTTTAACTATTATCATGCAAGCTATAGTTCTTTACTAAGCATTGTTAATAGTGTTGCAACATAATAGCTGATGGATTATTTGATGATGATATGTATTTAAGTTTGAAGGGTTTTCATAGTAAAACTGGTGCTTGACTGATAATTCTCTCTTGCAGCATCAAACCTTTTCAAGTTGCTCCTCAAATACAGACCTGAGGACAGAGCAGCTAAGAAGGAAAGACTTTTGAAAGCTGCACAGGCAGAAGCTGAGGGAAAGAAGCCCGAGAGCAAGAAACCTGTTGTTGTGAAGTATGGTCTTAACCACATCACATACCTTATTGAGCAGGTAATATATCTAGATAAATGACATCGTTGTAATTGTTTTTGTATTTGTTTTGACTGATCAATGAAGAAAAGTGCTGTAGTGTGTCACTGACTTGTATTTCAAACTTCAAAATGATGCTGCAGGGTAAGGCTCAGCTTGTTGTCATTGCCCATGATGTTGACCCTATTGAGCTTGTTGTATGGCTTCCTGCCTTGTGCCGTAAGATGGAGGTTCCATACTGCATTGTCAAGGGAAAGGCTCGTCTTGGAACGGTAATTTATCTGTTAAGCTAGCTTACTTTGCTTTGTTTTTTTTTTTTTTTAATTTGATTAACCTGGCACTAATACTTCTATTGAACTTGTATCTTGTGCAGGTTGTCCACAAGAAGACCGCAGCTGCTCTTTGTTTGACTTCTGTGAAGAATGAGGACAAGATGGAGTTCAGCAGGATTGTTGAGGCTGTCAAGGTGATAATTTTGTTCTTGTTCTCGATCTAATTTGATCACGCCAATGGATTGAGCTTGATTGCATCTTAATTCTTGTATATCTTTTCTTTAATTTGATGAAAAGAGCCTCACAATGTGTATTCTCTTGTCCTTGACAGGCCAACTTCAATGACAAGTACGAGGAGCACAGGAAGAAGTGGGGAGGCGGTATCATGGGTTCCAAATCCCAGGCCAAGATGAAGGCAAGGGAGAGAGTCCTTGCCAAGGAAGCTGCCCAGAGGTTGAATTAGATTCAAGAAGTATTTGTGTTGCAGAGGTCTCTTCCCTAGCGTTTTTTCTATTTTATATTTGGTTACATTTACGGCACTTCAGAAATTCAACTTTAGTCTTTTCGGTTAAAGTACTTGTACTGAGTTTTGGTAGTAGTGGATTTTGAAATTGTCACCTTCAAATATGAACCAGTTGTATGGAGTGTGCAATCTTTATTATTTTACCTTCTGAAGTAGATATGGACTTAATGTGACCCTAAATAGTTTAGTGCCCGTGCTTTGCAACAATTTTTTTGGAAGACCACTAAAATAGTTTGGTATTGAGATTAAAACAATGCTTTAAGGTTGTGTCGTGGGACGTGGGCTGTTATGCAAATAGTATCCTTGACGACCTTAAGAGCTACGCTAATGTTATCCAATGGACAATACGTGCTCAGGCAACAGGCAAAAGAATCCCTTCTCATCGTGCTGGTCTTTTTTGCAATCTTGTTATGATTCGGCCTTTGAATAATTTTGTCATCATTCTCGAGAATTTTGAAATTTTGTTGTCCAAGTAAACACATACAGGTATACTTCCTCTGTAGTTCCTGCTATGATCAAGCAAACAACAAAGCAGTATTACGTATTTTCCCTACACCAAGATAAAACAATATCAAACACTAGAAGTGACCTATCTAGCTAAAATTTTGTTGTCCAAGTAAACACATACAGGTATACTTCCTCTGTAGTTCCTGCTATGATCAAGCAAACAACAAAGCAGTATTACGTATTTTCCCTACACCAAGATAAAACAATATCAAACACTAGAAGTGACCTATCTAGCTAAAATTGTATGGTGTCATGATGTATTTGATCAACTATACACAGTAGACATATGATTTTATGTAATAACGAAGTAAAGTAGTCTTACAATTAATGAAATGAGTTTTAAATACAAACTCAGGATATAACATAAACTGACAATCTCATTGAGGCAAAGTTTTAGCATTATATGTCGTGACATTGTAGAAGATAAAGATCAAGATGTATTGCACTGGTAAACATTAATTGTATACATCTTATATATTAAGGTTCTTATTGCTAATTATAGACACAATGTTTTTTCTTATTGTAATGGTAGGTTTGTAGTTGGATGAGAACTTATAAAAGTGTGATTTAAGAAAGTTTACAAAACAAAATTAAATTGAAAACACCATCATCCTTGTACATAGAGCTGTCAATTCAGGTAAACGGGTCGGGTAAGAGTGAGTCGGGTAAATTCAGATTAATTCCATAACCTATGCGGGTCGGGTTTGGGTTGGGTCATGCTTGAGTAGGGTCACGTCGGGTAATACTTCTTATCAGGTTTGGGTCGGGTTTAGGTCAGGTCAGGTGAACAATGGGTCGTGTTTAATTCGAGTTTAAAACGGGATAGGATAATTCTCGGGTTCGAGTCGGGTTCGGTTCAAGTCAATAATTTGCGGTTAGAATCAGGTCGGGACATTCTCGTGTTTGAGTCTGGTTAAGTTCAAGTCAATAATTTGCGGATTATAATCAGGCCGAGTTATTTTCAAGTCGGGTCATTCTCGGGTTCAAGTCGGGTTCGGTTCAAGTCAATAATTTGCGGTTTAAAATCAGGTTGGTCATTTCCAAGTTAGGTCATTCTCGGATTCAAGTCGGGTTATGTTCAAGTCAATAATTTGCAGGTTACAATCAGGTCGGGTCATTTCCAAGTCAGGTCATATTCGGGTTCAACTAATTATAAATAGATAATTATCATTTTTATCAAGTTAATTATTTCCTTTGACTTTAATATATATGGCAATATACTAGGGAACTATAGTCTATAATTTAGGAAGGTAATTATCTCTTTTGACCATACAACAAATATATAATATATTTAACTCTTAAATTTAATGATGATGCTCCTTTCTTTTGCTGGCCTGGACTAACTTGGTCTCCCAAGACATAATGCTTTGATCAACAATAATAAGGTGATCTAAATTGCATTTAAGGTGATTTGAAATCGACTAAGGATTAATTTGGGTTGAATTTAGGTCGGGTTAATAACAAGTCATGTTATTTTTGAGTCAGGTTAGTAACAGATCGGGTTGAATTTTTGGGTTCGGTAAGTGATATGTATGATAAAATTCGGATCAAGTCAATAACAAGTCGGGTTGAATTTGGGTCAGGTCAATAACAAGTCGAGTTGATTTCAGGTCCGGTTTGTAACAGGTTGGGTTAAATTCGGGTCGGGTTAAGAACAGGTCGGTTCAATTTAGGTCATGTTAGTAAAAAGTCGGGTAAAATTCGAGTTTTGATAGGTTAAAACAGGTTTGGGTCAATTTCGATTCAAGTCGGGTTCAGTGCAGGCTAATTAAATTGGCCGTTGTAAACCGGTAAATCAATACAAGTTGTAAACTGGTAAATTAACCGTTAAAAAGAAAATTGAATGGTTCCACACACCCAATTGGACTCCCGGAGGATATTAGGAACCATGGTGAACATTTCGCCAGTTTTTATTTCCGGGCAAAAAAATGTCAAAAAAATTCCAAAATTAAAGACTAATATCCACGCTTTTTGAGAAATTTTGGAGGTTTCGGGGCCCGGTGTCGAAAAAGTCTTGAAAATATAGGGGATACATCTCAGGATCATATAATGCTATTTGGAAACATATATTATAATTATTTATTGTCATAAATGTTCGTGGTAGGCTTGAGTTAATGAAATCGGTGCAAGTTGTAAAACCGATAAATTGGTCGTTTAAAGGCAAATTGGATGGTTCCACTCATCCAATGGGACTCCCGGACGGTATTAGGAACTATAGTAAACATTTCGGCAATTTTTATTTCCTGGCGAAAAAAATTCAAAAATTTCGAAATTAAAGGCTAATATCCACGTTTTTTGAGAAATTTTGGAGGATTCGGGGGCCGGTGTCGAAAAGTCTTGAAATTCTAGGAAATACATATTGGGGTCATTTAATGTGGTCTAGAACCATATATGATCATTATATGTTTTTATAAATGTTCATGGTAAGCTTGAGTTAATGAAATCGGTGCAAGTTGTAAACCCGTAAATAGGTCGTTTAAAGGCAAATTGAATGGTTCGACTCACACAATTGGACTCCCGGAGGATATTAGGAACAATGATAAAAATTTCGCCAGTTTTTATTTCCGGGCAAAAAAAAGTCAAAAAATTTCAAAATTGTAGACTGGTATCCACGCGTTTTTTGAGAAATTGTGGAGGTTTCACGGCCTGGCGTCGAAAAGTTTTGAAATTCAATGGGATACATCTTGGGGTCATATAATGCCTTTTGGGACCATATATATAATCATTATTTGTTATCATAAATGTTCGCGGTAGACTTGAATTAATGAAATCTGATTAGGGGATTTTGCTCCTACCAATCGGAATGCGCCACGTGGGCCAATCAGGTCCTGCCAAGTGTCCCCCATTTGGAACTGTCAGGGCTTGCCACGTGGCACGCGCTTATTCGTCCACCTTGGACCTGTTATGTCATGACATGTGGCATACTCCATGCCTAATGGAGAAACCGGCCACCTAGGCCCAACTTCCGAGGGAAGCCCAATCGGCCCTAGGTTAACCTAAACCTAAGATGGGCACGTTTCCCAAGGTTATAAATACCTCCCTTAATCCTCATTAAGGGGGATTACGAAAAAAAAACACATTAATTACACACAGTAATAACCGGCTGATCTCGCTAACAAAGCAGATTACCTACATTAAACACTCTCACCTAGAGAGACCCAATCACTTTAATTTCCGCATTAATTACTCCTTAATCAAGTACTAACTTGACCGTTGGAGGCGGAGCTCCCACCATCAGGAGTCTCCGTTATTTTGCAGGTACAGGCGTCCGGTTCCAGTCTCGGAATTGTAACTCTCCCGCAGGACATCAGAAAACCCCGAAACATTTGGCGCCGTCTGTGGGGAGAGTACTTCTGAGATGGCATCCAAGTCTGTACCGACTCTTGAAGAGAGGCGTCCCCTAGACGACCCTCAAGTTCAGTCGGACCATGATACCGAGAGTGAATTTGAAGTTGAAGCTCACACAGCTTCAGACGGGACCCTAAGGGCCCGACGTACCCGTCATACCGGAAGGAGGGAACGGGAACATCTTCAAACTGGAAGTGAGCCAGCAGGCGCACCGCCTGTTTGGCAACAGCCGACTGATGGGTCTGCTCCCATCACAAGGAACGAACTCATGACCTTCATGAGGGACTTCAAAGGAGAGATTCAAGAGTTGATCAACAAGAAGCCGCCTGCTCCAGTGAAGGAGCAGTCGGCTAAGAAACCCTCCACTTCACTGAAGAGGAAGCCAGTTCAAGGGCGAGAGGCGACTCCTCATCCTAAATCTAGGAAGCGGGAGCCACCTGCCCTTGATTTCACAAAATTCCGTTTTCCTACAGGAAATAGGAAACATGTTCGTCATATTCAGGCGGACGGGTCGAAGCAAACATTCACAGACGCTCGGCTACTGCTAGAGCAGAAGAAGAGTGCCCGATTGTCAGAGTCGGCCTCTACTTCAAACTTTCAAGATAGTCTGCGAAATGCCTCGATGAGGCATACTCAGTCGTATCATGAGAGTCAGTCAGGCGGCACCTCCCGTCAGTCCGGCTTTCATAGCGACCAGGCGGTACCAAACTTACCATTTGTGCCGCAACAACAGTATTTTTTGCAGCCACCTCCGTTTGGTGGACCTGCAGCAAAAAACGTCCAACCTATGGACTGGCAGCTACGGTTGCTTAGACTTGGTGAACAGCCGTCGGCCTTCTCCAAGGAAATTACTGAAGCCGCTCAGCCGGCCAAAGTGAAAAATGTATTAGTAGGCGCCTATGACGGCACTACTAACCCAGAAGACCATCTGATGGCATTCACAAACCTGATGTACCTTCAAGGGTTGGATGATCCCACTTGGTGCAAGTGTTTCCCAGCGACTCTCAAAGGAATCACACAACAATGGTTCGGCAACCTGCCGACTGGTTGTGTAAATAGCTTCAGGACGCTTGCTTACTTATTCACCTCCAACTTCGCCATGAACATCCCTGCGAAGAAAACGACCCTTGATTTAGGAACAATTCAGCAGGGCGAGAAGGAGGGGCTTCGTTCTTACATCAGGCGGTTTAACCTGATGAGAATACAGATTCAAGGGTTACCGGATGAGGTAGCCCATACTGACTTTTTCAGAGGTCTCAAAGACGGGTCTACCTTCAAATTTGATTTGGTTCGAAAGAGGGTGGCGACTCTTCAAGAGGCCTTGATTGAAGC